GGGGGGGGGGTCTGAATTGAGCGATCAATTATTAGACCCGGACGTCCCAACACTTGCTTCGCAAGACAAACTCAAGGTATCCCCTAAAGGGCTACCTTTCGTGACTTGATCAGGTTCAAGTAGCTAAGTAGCGTACTTGAGAGGAGGGAGACACGAAAGGTAGGACAGCGGGAAGAGAAGAGAACGCGAGAGGCAGGAACAAAAATGCAATGTTCGACATGGTGATTTATCCCCTCGGAGGCGACCTTTCGTAAATATATGTTCATATGCACTTTAAATGTTCAAACATGTGCTCTCGAAATGTTCAAAAAGATTCTTAGGAAAACAAACTTGCCCCATGGCTCAGATCATCGGTGAGCATTGAATCGGAACATCATAGGATTTGAACTATCCTGAAACCATAAGAGGCTCACGAAGACGCTCCCCAGGAGAGAATTGACGTGCTTCACAAAACGTATCCCCTCGGGGAACACCTTTCGTGATTAGAATTTCATATTCACTCTTTCTAAATGTTCAAGAGGGTTTCAACAATCCTGAAATCATGAGAGGCTCACGAAGACGTTCTCCAGGAGAGAATTGATTCTAGAGGGGGGGGGGGTCTGAATTGAGCGATCAATTATTAGACCCGGACGTCCCAACACTTGCTTCGCAAGACAAACTCAAGGTATCCCCTAAAGGGCTACCTTTCGTGATAGACATACTTTGATGACGAATTATTGACCAGGATCATCCGTTCTGGGTGTCCATTCATGGAGGTCCATAGGTCGTGTAGAGTCGTTCTATACTGATATCCTGGTAGACGCCATCGGATGATCCAAGCAGATCCAGGTAGTATACCATGTCAAAAGGACGGTTACTTGATACACTGTGCTCGCCACCAGCTCTGCAGGCTCTGCCTGGCTTTGAGAAGGCAAACTGTTCGTTCGCTGTTATTTGGCAGCGCCTTTTCACTCCAAAAGCTTCAAAAGAAGGCCATCATGTCGCGCACGGATTCCTTGTATGTCGAATCGGCAAGAAACATCTATAGAAACACCCCAAAAACTTTGGACCCCTTTGAACGTTGGCCCACACTGTCCACCCGAAGCTGGAAGCACGGTATCATCACTGCGCAGGAATCACTGCTGGATGGCAATATGGAATGGCCTGGAAGAGAGCGCACGGTCTCATCTACCAGCACCTTCCAACAGGTCTCCTTTGGAGGGGTGTTAGGCCCTAACAGGTTTCAATTGGTGACCTGTGAAGTCGGTGCTGGTCAGCACCGATCGACTCGACGAAGGAACTGTTGCTATCGCCCCGCCTGGGCGACTCGGCCACCCGGTCTCGGGCTGAGGTCAGACTGGTCGACGAACCGAGGTCGAAACATGGGCGAGTCGGACACCTTCAAGACCAATCGTCTAGAGTCTATCTGTGACGTCCCAGCAAGCCGGCCCTGATGATGCATTTCCCTTTGATGGGGTGCTAGATGGTGCTACATATAGTGCCTCAGGGAACAGCAACCTGAACAAAACATACCAAAACAATGCAATTTTGGTGAAAAAACAACGACCTTCCTCGATCTTCAGTGCCCCGTTCTTCTGGTTTCCAGAGGGTTCCGTTCCCCGTGATCCTGGTGGTGCACTTCTTGGATCTCAGTTCAGTTCCTCAAATGAACCTGGGATCATGTTCAGTACATCTCTGCACGATGCACATCCTCACACCAAACGGTAACGGGTTAGTGTTCACTCCACGAACACCATGACTCTTTTTGGGTCGGGGAGCGTGAAGTCCAAGTCATTGAAGGTTCCTCCCCTTCAGAGTCGAACCAAACGACAAAGTCTTTCCAGGTCGCGTTGATGTCGAAAGCATTCCACAAACGTGATGATAGGGAGTCAATTTTAGCTGGGTTGACATGATGGTAGAGTTGGTCGAATAGAACTATTTAACCCCGAAAAACCTCAAGGTTTTGGCCACTGCTGCACTGCTCACATTGTTATATCTTTCAGAACTTGGATGTTGTGTTATCCCTTTCACAGCCACTAAGGCACATCTCATCCACAAGGCCAAGGTCGGACAAGCTGGGGGCACCTAAGAATCCAATTTACAACTACCTGGAGTCTCAGTTTGCACCTCGGAAAATGGGTACAAGTACCTGTTGTTATAGGGTCATGTCCCATTTTCTAAGATACCAGGGTATCGAAAAATCCCACATCTGAAAGACTCGCCTGAAGCTTCTTGGGCATCACAATCTGCCGATTTTCCCTCAACTCTTCCTGGCGGTTTTGGAACTGTTTCTTGTGACACATTTTTGGGCAACATCCAAAAATCCAAACGTCGAATGTGTTGCAGCATTTGCAGCACAACCGAGAACAAAGCCAAGGACCGAAATTAGAAAAACATTTTGAGAGTATGAGGGGAGGTTCGTGGCACGCGGCTGTGGGACTAAACCATAACGGCGGTCAATGTCTTGGAAGCAAAGAGCTCAGGAATTCTATGGCTTGACAACTTTCAGCTTTCCTCGCACATGAAGGACACCATGTGTTCAACCGCTCCATTCTTAGTTTGATTTATCGAACAAAGAAACAGCAACATATATGTTACCGTTCGTTATATACTTATTGTTTAATCTTTTGTATAATGTGTCAATCAGTATGTTCCCATAATGAAAGCTTCAAGCTTAGCCACTGACTCCCAAAAAACGCTGCTGGTCTTGTTGCCCAAGTTCACACCCTCCGAGGTCTCAACAAACAAGGTTCGATTCATGTGTCCTCCCACGCTGACTTTGCAGTGTTTCAAACTTTGTGTTCAAGGTTAGTTTAGGAAGCTTTGTCAAGGTACAGTTTAGGAAGCCCAGCTACTGCAGCTACAAAGAAGTTCTTCTCCTAAACCACGTCCAGATCCACGTGAAGAGGTCATTTCAGTCTCCAAAGGCGGGCGAGTTTCGCGGCGAAATCCCAATCACTTGGAGTCCGACGAAGGCCATGGGCTGAAGGTGATCGGGAGATGGTCCAATCGCAACATGTCAAATAATGTGTGGGAGACTCTATCATTTTGAAGGTGGTCATGTTATCATTTAGATTCTTTAGAGAATCTCCTTTAGATATTCTTGGATTCTTAGCATCTCCCAGCCTTTTTGCTGCATGGTCCCTTCCCAACTTCCGTCCCACCTCACTGGCCGGGCCCTTGTCTTCATGCGCGCTGGCCGGGCCACCACACCAGTGGCACAGAAAGTACTCCGAAGTCCTCAGCTCTTGGACGGGCGTCTCACTGGACGTCTTCTGGTCCTTGAAGAGAGCTCGAATTTGTTTGTTTTGGATGATGAGAACCTCCTCAAGTAGACATCTACACGAATCTACACCCCTGAGGAGACCCACATGAAACCTAAAAGTTAACCTGTTAACCTTTACTGTCACATGTCACTGGCGCTTCGTTGCGTCATGCGGGTCTCGACAAACCGCACTGGACCAGCATCTCGAGCGCACTTCCGGACCAGCTTCGGATCGACACGTGTCAGATCTGTCAGCTCACCCACGGGCACAGACAAGGGAGACCAGCGGAAGAGCTGACATTGACCTCGGTTTTTTTGCCACTGAGCTGGGTGGGAAACACCCCGAACGGATGATGTGATGGAGAGAGGGATGGGGGTTCTTTGAACGAAGCCGGAGTCTTGCGGCTTGCTTGCACAAAAAACATGTATAATAGACGAAGCTTGCGAACAACTAACACATCGCCTGGGGCCTTAATGCAAGGCTGCCTTTAGTAAAAGAGCTTCTCTGTTGGTGGGGCAGGATGCACCCTTCATCATCCTTGGAAGAGGTCTCCCGAAAGAACATGTTTATGTCCCCATGTCATCTAATCAGCTCGGGGGGTATTCGTTGCTATTCGCTTCTGCTCGAGGACCGACACCCTTCTTCGCAAACGGAGCGCGGAACCTCTTTTGCCAAGTCGAGCGGAAGGCGCAGTCTTCCGGGCGGCAGCACGGCCCTCTGCAACTTGCGCAAAGGTGGGAAAATCCGCCGTGCGCCGCGTCATGTCGGCACTGTGCCTGGAAACCCGGTCCCAACCAAAAACAAATGTATGTTTCCCCAGTCCCACTTGTTATGTGAAGGATCTCCATTGCCATAATTTGGGGCATATCGGCATACCCCATTCCCTGTATGATGGTTAGGTTGCAGGCCTTTCCCCAAATAGTGGTGTTCTTGCTTACTGACTGTTGCAGTTACAGGTACTTCTACAGTAGGACCCCCCCCAAAGCCAGATTGGAACATCCATTCTCCACCAGTCCAAGGGCCAAGTCCGTCCTTGACCTCAGTGAGCACGGTGTTTTGGCCCCCAGTGAAATGAGGTCGACCTCTTTTTGGGGTTCTTTCTGATTGGGCCTGGAAACGCAGCTGGTGACCCCTGAGTCACCTGGCGCTCACCGCGCTAACATCCGCCTCACAGCTCAGATCGTGCCGCTGCCGCCGAGTCCGACGCGCAGAGCGGTTGGAGGGAACTGAAGCGATGGTTGACCTCCCAAATGATGGCGCCTTTCGCCCAACTGAGGTTGCCTCCGCGCGGGATCCCGACGCGACGCGAGAAGAGGACTGGGGCAACACCATGAAGTTCGATGCGATGGTTGGTGGGAGAAACATGACCAAAGAGCATATGAGGGCTCCTCGGGTGTGAACCCTGCGTTAGACATGGCCTTCTGAATAATCCTTTTGTTTGGCCTTCTGAACCGTGCAGCCACTGATCGGAGCCTTGAGGCACGAAACTGATCTGCTGGCTCTTCTTGTCAAAGCCCAAGCCGTGATGCAAAAGGACCTGACGTGCCCCAAGACTCATCCTCCACCTTTAGCATTTGGATGCATTTGGGCGGTTGATCTTACAACATGCTAAACTCTTGAAGGATTTTGCTTGATTTTGGCATGTCGCTTCCTTTGGACGTCCTTGGCCGTGTGTGAACAAGGAAGTTTGCATTCTCCGTGATTCATTTTGCTTCCTAGCAAGTTTACTTTTGAATTCTGAGCTTGTATGTGCTCCCGGCTTCTAGCAAACCAAGGAAGGATGAGGTACTTGCTTTAAGTATTTTGGAACATGCCTGGTAGAAAGCTTGGAGAGCGCTTAAAAAATACCAAGGAGGGTTGGTGGCCCAAGTAGTACCACCAAATCTTTTGTGGTAACGTCCGCTCTCTCTACATCGGAAACGAGTCAAAACACTCAGGAACACATAATTGGCAAGGTCCTCTTCGTTCCCTCGAAACACTGAGTTCCAAGTCGCTACCACGTAAGCGGCGGAGAAGCACAAGGACTGCAAGGCTTGCTCGCTCAGTTGCCACCGCTCATGCAGTAAAGCCCAGTCCATCTTGCAAACATAGCGCGCCGCATGTTCGATGTCCTCGCCGATGGCGAATCCGTGTGGAGTACGGAGTCCGAAGCATTCTTCGGCACAATGAGTGGTGGTGTAGGTCGGGTGGCCAAAACAAAGAAAAGCTCCGGAAGCTCTCTTAGAAAGGAAGGAGAAATACTTACCTGTATCTTTCGCCGTCGTCATCTTGGACACGAAGGAGAAATCACCGAAACAAGACTCTGATAGAAACTTATGTTTCGCCTTCTCGGAAGAAACAAGACCCATATTCACCCGGATAGCATCAGGCAACCTCTCATGCCGGCCACTTTCCAAACCCCGAAAGCAACATCGAAGAAAAGCACATGTGTGTCCAAACACATCCAAACAAGCTGGTTGCATCAGGGCCAAGGCTTTTGGACATCTAATGGCTTGGCTTTTAAGTCGAGTGTATATTATAGTATTATAGGGAGGCCCCCCCAAGCAATGGTTTTAAACAAATTTTGGCAAATGTTCTGTTTAAAGCCGGTCTTTAGGAGGGCTACATATTTTAGCATATTTTAGCCATATACATCCAGTCTGCATGTCTCTCGGATTTACTGTTCAATGGACAGTAGTGCGCTGCACTGGTCTCCTCAAGTGCGGTGGTCTCCGCCGGCAGTCCAAGCACATCAACCACCCAGCTGAAAGCAGAGAAGGCCACGAAGCGCCGTTGGCCCAGGGTGGGCTGGTATCGCCCATTGAAAGTGCAGGCCGGCAGGTAACCTGACATGTCAATCGGAATCGGTTCTTTTCCTGTCCAGCTGATGTCAAACGAAGAATGGGGAAGGAGAGCATCACTGGTGCGGGCTGGAGACTGGCCGACAATTGGGGTCACTTGTGAAACATCGCCGTCCAGTCGACCAAACATTGCACACGTCCTGCACCGAAGGGGTTTTTCCCAGCCCTGAGGAGTGGGATGTACGCAATGGCTGGAGCTAGAGAACCACAAAGGGACCCTGAATTTGAAGAAGTCTGGCTTCAGTGGACAGGCCAGTATCACAGCCAACATCCCTGCTTCAGCGGTGAATCTGTCAAAGGTCAATAGCTATAGGCGGCAGATGGCGGCAGTGAGACACCAGGCAGTGAGACACTTCAAGAGTTCGTTCCCCTCCAGCTCACGACGAGACGAACGGTTCAGGCAAAAACCACAAGACGAGATCAAACTCAATTGGTAAATGAAATGTTATAGATAGCTAGCACTTCCAATGGGTGCCCAATGGAGACCTGTAAGTAGGGTACTAGTAGGGTAGTCTATTGGACACCCATTGGATGATCCTGGTATATAGCTGTGCTTTTGTCCATCCTCTTGATCCCTCTTGTACTTCTGCATTTTAATGTACTATAATCTTCTGAGTCTATAATATCCACATCAATCACCGACGCACGCATCTGCCACCGAACATCAGACGGGGCATGCTCCTCTGCACCACTCTGCCAGGCGGCACGGCGCGTTCTTGTCAAACAGTTCGGCGAGCTTCTCGGCGCAGTCCTCGCCGTCTCTGTCCACCTCCCTGGTGTCATCACTCGAACCACCAACCCGTCACCGGTATACAGCGAAAGGATTGGACCGCGGGGGAGGGCGGTCTGTCGCGGCTCTTTATACACGGGTGGTCGTTACATGCCATTGAATATCAATATAACCCTTGAATCTAAATCCTTGTATTGCATACTGGACACCCAAAAAAACACGCAACACATGTGTGCACACACACAAATCAAAAAAGTACAATTAACCAGCCGTGTCATCTGCAAACCCCTGCGAGAGATTTTCGTGTCCTCCGTGAGATTCTACCCTATACCGTCGGTGTCCTCGTATTGGCCACGGCCATGCCAGGTGGCCGTCAAGGGCGCTAAGGCGCTGGCGCCCACCGCCGCGGCATCCGCCGCCGCGGCCTCGTCGCCGATGAGCAGTTCCGTGGTATTGCTGCCACGGGGCAAGCCTCGGAACCGGCGGGAAACCGGTCGCCCGTTGCACCGGTGGCCGGCGAACACGTGGATCCTTTTGGAGCTCCAGGTGTTGACCCATCATCAGGTCACAGTCCAGGACCTTCAAAGAGGTCACGTACTGAAGGTCCTGGGTCACCCTTGTTTTGTGTTTTAACTTAATCCTTGTGGGGAGGAGGTCTGAGTGAAAGTCGAGCTTGGGGAACATAGGCTGGACATACAGGGCTGGAGATTCTTCGAGCTGTGATTCCACGATCTTTTATAAGAATACATCGAAACGCTCTTCCCACCTACACATTGATGTGATTCACAGTGTGTTTCACCTGCCAAACATCTCCAATAAGAAACCTCCCCGCCACCTTCGAACCTCGATGAACCGACCGGATCCACGCTCCGTGTCGCGACCTTCGCGGTCCGTCCGGTGGCTCGGGTACCGGTCGGACCCAAGCCAAACCGTCTCGAGGCGCAGGGGTGCTCCAAGACCTCGGTTTGCTCCGCGACCAAGGCCTTACCAATGAGCTGCCGCTGCAGCAGGCGATGTGCCTCCCTTAGGCCGAACTGCCTGGGCCGAGGTGCGCGGCGTGCGGGGCGCGCGGCGCGCGCGTGCGCAGCGCTCCACGGCGGGATTGGGAGGCGAAAACGAAGGAGAACGGGATGGATGTAGGTTGTTTTTGGTCTGTGGATGTTCTTTTTGACATGGAGATGTGCCACGTAAATGGACTTCAAAGGATTTGGACCTGATTTCATGAATTCAGCAAAGCATCCTCCCAAAGGATCTGCGCCTCTGAACCAACCCTTACTCAGGAGAGGAATGTGGTCATAATCAGGCTGGAGAAATGCCAGGGTTGTCGGATGGAATATGCCGGAATGGATTTGTGGTCTTGCCCAGAGTAGGCATGGGCAATCACACATAGGTCCAACATCAAAGGAAAACATCTCCAACCACCCCACGAAAATAGGCCAGGAGCAAATGCCACCGAGCTGCAGGTATGAGGCCGAGTACAAATTGCTCTGACGGCCCTGGTGTGTCGCGAGATGGGCAAACCCGGGGGGGGCGAGCGCATGGCATGAGTGTGACACAGGTGCGTTCGGGGGGGTGGACCAGTGAGACATGCTGTCGACCAGCACTTGGGTGTCTATAGTTACTGCATGTCGATATTGTTTTCAAGTCGTTGTTGCTAGCCTTTTTCGTGGGTGGTGCAAATTGGGCTTTCTCGAATCCCAATGGCCTCCCGCCCCTCGCCCCTCGCTGCCTGCAGGTGCACCGGAAAGGAATGCCTCGTCGTGCGATTGCCGGCTGGGCGAGCGTGCCAATCTCTTCGCCGGTCAAAGTGCCAACAAAAAACATGCAGTATTAACTGCTTCCTGGCTTCAACTTTCAACTCACGAAACACATTGGTCAGTGGGTTCCATCATGTTTCCAACATATCCACTTATCTCATACACTCCATGTGACTGCTATATATATTAATGCCTACATTCACCCCCCAAACCACCCCAACTGATCGGCAGTCCTAAGGCAGTCCCAGACGGGTCGTGTTTGGGTATTACTGAAACTCACCACGCAGGAAACCTTCCAAATCACCTACCTCGACCGCCCGACCGCCGAGGTAGAAAAAACCAACCGGCCAGGTGGCTGCAGGACACTGCGATCAGCCTCGGGCACGAAGGTGATCTGCATGGAGGCACCACCCAGATCCAGCACGCCCACCTGGGTGGAGGCGTGGGTTGCCAAGGGGGAGGACGCCCAAAGGAGGTCCAAAGAAGGCGGAGAAAAGGGTGCGGAATGCACTGTCATGCGATCAAACTTAAACATAACGCATTCCACCAAAAAGAAAGGATGGTCCTGTTGAACTTATGGCCACAGGCACTTCGTGCACTTCGCTATCACTTCGCCGCTACAGGCATGGGATGTGCCATTCACATCGTTGGTGTTTCACACCCCCCTTGCTGCCTCTGATCTGCCTAGCTGCTTTCGGTAAATACACACAGCTTCCTCTCCTAGCGCCACCGCGGTGTCAATGATCCAAATGTCTTCATGACTTGCAAACCATGTCCAACCATGCCCCCCCCAACAAAAACGTACGTGTGATGTGTGTGTGTGTGTGTGATGTGTGTCACCAAAGCATCGCCCCCACGCCCCGCGAGATCGGCGCGAAACCGGCGATCGCCAGGTCACGGAGTGGGTCCCCACGTCTTCCAGGTTCCCCATGTCCGAGTTGATGGCCAACCAACCTCGGTCGCTAGGTTCGAGGATCGGATTCGCAGTTAGGCACACCGCAATCCGCAGGGAATGGGCCCAAAATGGGAGGAGACGATGTGCCACCGAGGCAGCTGAGCGACGAAGCATCACTGAATCATATACTGCATCCCGCACCCTCCTACCCCAACTTCGCCCTGATTCTCCGTGTCAAGTCCCTTCGCCCAGGTGGCGAGATCGATTTCGCCCGGGCCCCGAAACCAAGCAGCCATAAGCGCCCTCCTCTTCACCGGACAGGATGCGTACAAAGTCGGGCTCTGAGTGGAAGTGGCTCTCCGCCAAGATCAGTCGCACCTCGCGAGCGAGCGAGCGTCGTTCCTCCCCGTTTCAAACATTGGCACTGGGACGTCACAACCTGAAATCCTTGAACCGCCACAGAAACACCACCACCTGGGTTTCTTCATGTTTCTCTATATAGGTTGGTGATCTTCCAATCTTCCCAAACCTCTCAAAACAAGGCGGGGCACCGTCTGCAGCACTCCTTCGCGTTGCTCCGGGCGCATGCGCCGGAAGCCCGCCGTGGCTAGGAAGTAGACGGGGAAGCGGTGCCAATCGGACTGGCGGTCCTTCCAATGGAAAAAGGAGCCACTTGACCGTCCGGGTTGCCATATTACAAATGAAATAATTATCTATAACTAAATATTTCTGCTCCATCTTACAGTCCAGTTGTTTGTTATGTTTAACAATATTTGGTATTTCATATATGATACACTTGCAGTGCAAACATACCAGCATGGCCGCGATCAACATTGAAGCACGGAGACGTGACACCATCCATGCGCCACTCAGGCATGGCGCAAAAACGACGCCATCTGATCCGGTCTCGAACACACAATGATGTTCCCAACTTCCTAGAGCCTAACTTCCTGATTTCCGATGACCTCTGATAGGTACTTGAACCATGTCGGGCCTATCTTTGGGGTGGTTGATGGTATAGAGCTCACTCAGGCTCTATAGGTTTATTATGGTCAGCAAGCGAGGGTCTCTGCCACGTTGGTCTGCCAACCACCGAATGCACGTTCACCAAGGCCAGCCTTCAAGGTCTCTTCAGCAAAGCTCAGCAGGTCCTGACTTGGCGGTTCATGGAGTCTCCAAAAAGACCCCTTGAATCGTGAAACGTCCTTTTTACCCGCCCAAGTGGAGGTGGCCTCTGTAGAACTCAAACACTTTAGTGTAGAAACATCCTATGATTGGTTGGCGGTTTTCGAATGTTGAAACATCTTCACTTGGCCATGTCTCCAAACGAGTGTCACCCTGTCCCGGAACCGATCCACCAGAAGAGGGGTAAGAGGTCCCGCAGGCCCGCAGGCATTCATCTTCAAGTGTGAGTGACTCTGCCGATTCTGATGATGAGTCATCAAATGATTCAGATTCAGAGTCATCATCCACAGCTGGGAGTCACTTGTAGCAGGGAATGGATTGAAACAAACTCATGAAAGTGGACACGGGAGCACCAAGAGAATAGACTAGAGGATACTAGAGGTAATTCCAAGATATCCCAACCGAGTGGTCAGATCTCAATCTTGATCCTGAATGCTGTATGATCCACAATCAAAAATATCCAGTGAATTCCTGTGGGTTCCAGCTGTTGTCCATACAAAACAAAAACTTGGAGGGGAAAATTGGTAGAGTGCATGTTCCGAATCGCGAACCGGAGATCTCAAGTCGAGCTTGGCATCCGTCAAGGTATCATTCAGCTTGGCGTTCACCGAGCTCAAACCACCTTTCACCTGATGCGAGGCCAACACAGTGGGCGTCACCGTCGCTCGGCTGGTCGCGAGGTCGCAGTGGAGCGGAGACCAGGTAAAGATCCAAATCCGAGAGCCTCGGAAAGCACGGTGGGCGGAGACATGCTGCTGGATCCAGCGCGGCTAGGCTGGATGACATGCGAAGGCACGCGGCTAGGCTTGCAGAAACCTAGCCGAGGTCCTTCAAAAGCAGCGGAAAAAATATGGCCTCCTGGCCCATATAAATCAACCGCGCATCTACATATAGTTTCTGTCTCAGGGCACTTGATGGCGCTATACAAGCGCCAAGGACGGACTGAGAATGGCCAATCTGAGGCAGTGGGTTGCCAGAACGGATGATTGTAATGTCAAATCAGGATCAAAAAGAAACCTCCCCTAGTTAATCCGAACCCCAACAGCCTGTCTCCAACATTCCAAACTGAAAGTTGATTTCCCCCATGAACTGGCATGTTGGTGTTTAAGACACTCCCCAGCTAATCCCACCAAGTCAATGTTCTAATTCCACTTGAGAAACTATATAGCTATAGAAGAGATTATGTAATCATGTTGCTATCAAAACACCTGCTTCTGCTGCAGCTGATCTCTGTTTAAACTCACCCATCAGGTCTTTGCTGGTTGACGGCTTAGCCTTTCTGATGTTTCTTTTCAATCGCAGCTGACTGTTTATAAATCTTCCAGAGGTCCAATCAAGGGCTGGTCCCCCTAAAATCTGCGTTGCTACCACCCATCTACTACCCCTACCCCTTATTAATTTGATCCTGTATCCCTTGCCGTGTCTATCGTTTTATGCTGTTTAGTTTGCTTCTTAGACAACTCAACTCAAAACCATAACAACTGCTGCTGCTATTTTGCGCCTACAGTACCACCTCCCTTCTCAGACCTTGGTTCCTACCAACCCTCCTATCAGATTTTTCAGGTGGAGGTGGCCCCCAATTCATGGTACCGACCTGACCTTGACCTGACCTGCTGGGGTGCGGTATATTAATCCGAGGTTGACAGTTGTGTTCAACAACACACACACACACCGACTATCAGCATCTACCGAACCATCCCAGGCCCCTCCACTCCTTTCCCTTCGCGACTCGATCCGACTTGGGATGCAGCCCCCAGGGGCCGGTGGATCCAGCATCGATGATGATCCCATGGTATGCACTCTTGGGAGCGGAATCGTCCGTGCTCGTCGGCTCATTCTCCTCCTCGGGCACCGAGCAGACCGAGCAGAAGAGCCAGGCCAAAGCGACACGGCCGCTGCGCCACATGCGGCCGCAGCGACGCCGCGGCCTGGAGCCTGCAGTCCGGGACGGGGGCGACGAACAGGGCCGTTAGATGGCGCCATCTGAGGCATGGGTCTGGGGTATCCCATTCCCTGTAACCGTGGATGATGACCCAGACGCTCCGTGAAAACGCCATAGGACTGCCGATCAGCTGGGGTGGTGCCAGGGGGGACAATTGATCGGCATATGGCAGTCCCATTAATCGCGTCTCGCTTCTGGGTGATGGTTAGTACAGGCCTTTCTCAACATAGTGATCTTTGACTCTTACAGGTCATTTGAAACACACAAGGCGTGGGTCTGGTGGAACCATTGTGGAGAACCGGACCCGCACGTGCGGCAAAACCGGCTCCCCGTTTTGTAGGAAGCACCCACCTGCAGGGTGGCAGTGGCTGCAGCAGGTGGCGGCTGTCACAGCGCTTCCATCAGCGGTTGGAGGCTTTCCATAGCACGGGTGGAGGGTTTGAAGCTGAGGTGAGAACAGAACTTCCAATCATAGGGGTTTCCACGAGTCACTTGGACTCTCAGGTTTCTGGAGTTTGATGTTGGTTTCTGGAATCGGCTGCTGCTGTGCATAAAGGATCATAGGGGATTACCACTACAGGACCGCTTCTAAATGGGTCCAATAAACCTGCAGGGTACGTGTCATTCTAGAGTCTAAAGGCAAAGAAATCAATTGACTTTGGAGGAATGTGGTCGGAAGCACTGGTCAAATTCAAGAATTGCAGCGGGACTTGTTCTGGAGTGAGTTGGAGATGGCTCCGCCCTACCCGGGACCCACAATAAATGCAAAAATAACAACATAAGCCTAAGGACCTCCTGATTGTATGATCACTGGCTATTTCATCATTCCACTGGCAAGTTCAATGAGCTTGAGACCTTCTTTCTTGGGCCAGTCGGCCAGTCTGTGCTCATTTTCGAATCACGGGCGGGACAGGACTTTGGTCTCGAGAGCACCCATGCTCCGTCTGAGCTCAAGGCACGTGTGTGATGGGCACGTTATCTATACGTTGTCTGCCCAAAACCTGGATCTGTGGTTCCTACATCTGAAAAAATATGAAAAAATGGATTGTGTCTATCTCTGCTTGTCGCCTCAGTTCTTGTGAAGCTAAAGTGCTGCGGAGGGACGGTAGTGTTCTTCATGCTAGCTGCTAATCTGTCTGAATGCACACTGTTTGTACAGGTAGTTACCAGTGAGAACATCGTGAAAGCACCAAATTGTTTTAACCTCCTTTGTGGATTCCAGGATGTTCCAATATTTGCAACCAATTCCATGCTGCACCAGTTTCTGTTGAATCAACATCTTGCTCTAAGGATCTTTACAAAGGTTTCAGAGTAGATGGCCAACAAAAACAAGGTGTCTTTAGATGGGGACCCATCTAAGCCACCAAACTTGGGGATTGCACCATCTACTCTGAATCCACCACAAGGCATCATACCCGGCTTGATGGTCAACTCTGCCAAAATGGTCGAGAGTCCACGCGCAGCAGTCTACCTTGGGTATCTTCCATTATGAGGGCCCAATGGATGATGATTAGGTGGCAGGCCGACATCTCCCAACTCACGATGTTTTTGTTTACCAACTGTGCTAAGGTAAGTTCGGACAAACCCAAAGTCCATGAAGTCGCGGTCAGGAAAACAAAACTGACATGTTCAAATCTTAGCGGGGTCGAACCCAAGAAACACCTCAAACTCAAGCAAGTAAGTCAACTCTCATCTTACATGTTACATGTTGTTTTTTACCCCCAAGCAAGCCTAGACACTGGAACATCTCCATATTGCGGTATATACTTAAACAACATAGACTTGAACATCATATTGTCTCAATCCCGCCGCCCAGACGCCTGAGCTGCCGCCACGTCTTCGTCCCCATGCATCCACGCTGTATCCCCGCTTGGCGTTCTCGTCCCGGCGCAGCGCTGCACCGGTGTCGCGCCACCACACGCCAGCTTTCTGCACCGCCGCGCGCGCGGGCGTGGACATCCGTGCCGTCATGCGAATCCTGGGGCGCCCAAGGGCACATCCGCGTGGCGCGTGGCGTGTGGTGTTGAGGAGGGTCGTCCAACATGGTCCAACACTCCCCTCCACGTCCCATGAGACTGGATGGCATGGTCCCGAAAGGATAAAAACGACTTTCCGAAGACCAACCAGAAAATGGCTTTCCACTTCCATGCGAGCTCTGTTTCGCTCACTTCGTGTCGCTGGAGCGGTGCGGTTGTTCCGTTTAATTTTCGCGGTCCATCCGTGTCCCGTCCCAGGAACACCTGCGCTGCTGCCGTCGTTTCGTCAGTGTGGCCGCGCCACATCTCGGCCAAGATCATCTCCTGGGGCGTTTCAGTTTTGCTCGCCAGGCCCAGGCGTTGTTGCACCACCTGTGCCTCCGCCTCCTCACAGATTCGGCGCCGAGTGGGCTGTGTGGGCTGGCTGGAGCGATGTGGAGCGGACTCCATGGCATGTTGAGTGGTCTCGGTCGATCTGGACAGGATTGAAACATGCAGAGGTGAACATGTTGAAGTGATTTGCTTCCAACCATGTCCGGAACTCATCCAAACCCGGGGATGCCTGCATGGTTCTTCACACAAGAGATCCTTCCAAGATTCCAAGAAATTCGCTTTCTCATACATGATCATACAGATTCATACAGTATACATGTTGGTTGGGATGGTGGATCCTTCTGTTTTCTCTGCAGCTTCGGCCACGAAGTTTTCACTCTCACCGAGCCGAGGAGTGGACTTTTCACCGGGGTCTCCTTGAGCTGCTCTCTGACGCGTGCACGATCAGCTTGATTCGGACTGAGAGCAGCGCGGCATCGGACATCCGGCCGACGTCAGTGACCGGACGGCTCGTTGCGCGACGGAGGGCCGGTTCTGCGCGGTGCAGGTGGAGCGGACTCCAACGACGTGGTGACGACCAATCAACTCGTTCAATTCCAGACAAGCAGTCCAAACGAGTGACGTCTGACGAGGACTTGTGTCATCACATCTGAACTTGGTGACGACTCCAGGGCTCAGTGGGACTCCATCGTCAACCCGCATCTGAAAGATGAACTTCCCATGACTCCGTTTTAACCCCTCCTGGAAGTCATTCAGACTCGAGGCAAGTCATTCAGACTCGAAGAGCCAAAGTCGGTGTGTCTCTGCAAGAGTGCAAGTGACTGTGACAAGGTAGGCAAATATCTAGCCCAGTCGTATTATCACATCATTCCAATATTGCATGCAACATGCTCCAATGCTCCAATATCTGCTTACAGTGAGATGGTGAGTAACATGCCGAGTGATCCTTGACCCCAACATTCTGCCGGACAAAAAGGTACAAACGCGCACAAGCTGAACAGAAGGATTCTCGCCCTTTCGAAAACATCTGGTCAGCTTATTATGGTCAACTTATGGTGCAGCGCGTTTGCTCATCATAGTGACATAGATGTCCCAAATGCTTTGCACCAGACCGGGCGACCTGCCAACCAAGCGGACCGATGTCGCTCCCATCCGAGGGACATCATCCGCCGCTGTCGTTCCAAAGCCTCCACCTCTGCTAAGGCTCGGCCTAGCACGTGAGTCGTCGGAATCGGTGCATTGGGGGCCTGCGTCATGTTTGCGCCTTTGGCCGAGTCTAGGATTGATCATCTGGGACCAAAGAGGCCAGGGATGAGGGAATCAATGTGCTTGGTAAGTCATATGGCCATCTGGAAAGGCCATCAAATGTGCATTTTGTAGGTGTGAGATCTTTCGATGCCCACTCCATCAACTGAACAGGCTTCGCGACTGGAAAAAGCTGCCACTCGAGGCTTCAAATGACCTCTTTCACCCCCTTTTTGGTGTCGGAATTTGATGGAATTTGTGTCTCTCGCCCAGGTGCCGCAGAGATAGTACCGGAGGAAGTGCTTATCCTTGGACAAATTCCAGGTGTTCACCAACTGCTCCTCAAACAGCGTGTCCACCAGGAAGATCATCGCCTCAGCCGTTTGCGCGAAAACGGCTGACAAACACCGTTTTGTGGAATCATCAGTTATACAATGTATGTGGAGTGGAAACCATAAACCACACCGATCCGAGATCCTAACGGTGGGGGCCTTGGACAGAGTTTGCCAGTCGAACCAGAAAAACAAACCAAACAAAGTGAAATGTGTTGTCCAACCTAAGGTATGTCCAAAAAAAGTAAACAACAAACGTGTGGCAATTCATTTTGTTCACTGGTCATTGGAAAAATCGTACAGGGAGGTTGGGTACCACCATTATGTATTTACATTGTTAAGTTTTTGCTACCTCTCTCTCTGTCTCTCTCTCTCTCTCTCTTCCTCTCTACCTCTCATTATCTCCCATGAAATCATGAGATTCCCGCTCTGCTCTGCCAATGTTCCTTTTGCAAAATGCCGGTGGCCGGAGACACTCTTTGAACACTCCCCAGGAATTGAAGAATCACGTGGCATATAAAGTAAAAGGACCACACGTTACTCCCCTGGGAACTGGGAACCAAAACAAACTAAACATGCATGAGTTTTACAGCGGCCTTGGGCTCTCCTATTCAGCGGGCATTCCCACACAGATCATCCAGTCGTACTTTCTCAGAAGGCACAACTGGACCCTCCAAACCTACCCAACAGTGTCTCCAATCACCTTCTCAAAGGGTATATGAATCCCTAGGGCAGCTGTTTGGTATGAGGAATTTCATGGTCATCCGAACGAAAGGGATTTATATTTTGCCACCGTTCCGCAGGTCGAGAACATGGAGAGTAGTCCAAAACGACGGTCCAGAGCTCTCACCGTGGATGTGATCCCCAAGAACTCTTAGTCCACCTCAGACTGGAGGAAGCACACCCATCAGTCTGAAGGTGTTGTTTTTGCAAAGAAACACCGAGAGAAACCCAAAGAACTCGGCTGATGAATGTAGTCCATGTAGTCGACAACTGCACAACGGCACATTCCGGTTCACACGGCTAGATCTGCTGTTGCGATTGACCAGTCCATCTATCATGTGTCGGGGGCACGAAAATATATTGAACCTGGTTCTGCGAGATTCTGCAAGCCCCAAGGCGAGGGTTGTCAGTCGACATGTGAATCCTCATCTACACTGGCTACAAATGTCCCAACAGCCTTGGAGACCACGACTGGCAGTCACCACTTCACTGCTTCACAGCACCAAGGTTCAGCGTCAGCATGCAAGAACTGCACCATGCGCTCCATCGCAGTGTCATTCCTGGCGGACTAGTAACAAAGGGCCTCGCGACTCGAACGGAGGAAGGACGCTACTAACTCCTGGCATTGCTAGTAACAAGAAGCTACTAGGTGGAGGGGCAGTCGGTTCTCTGAGGTGCCCTGATCTAAAGGAACATCTGCCAGGACGCATCTGCCAGGTCACCACCTGCCACGATCAACAGGTCTCCATTTTGGAGATCTGTTGATGTTGTGGAGGGAGCTGGTACGAGCAAAAACGTTCAAGAAAGACCGTTTTTCCACATATTCCTCTAGAAGTCGATGATGCCCGCGCAGTGGGACTTGCGTTTGTTGTTACAACAGTCAACAGTCCGAGCAGAAAAGAACCCCTTCTTGAAACAAGTGGATGTATCCAAACCACACATGACATGTAGGCAGGTGTCTACACGGGCGCCGTACATATGGTGTGCTCACTGAGATCAATACTCATGCTAGTTGTTGTAGAGTGGCCGGGTGGGGTGATCAACCCAATAGATTCTTGCTTCTTACCAAAGTGATCTGTTTGGGCAGCTGTGCTGGGTGAGGTAGTGTGAAAACACCCTGCAGTGAAAGGGTCTGTCATTGGTGATCCTAGGTGTGAGCAGTGGCAGGTTCCAATTCCACCCAACTAAGCGTGGATTCGACCCTGCTGCACTTGAAGGCAAAATACTTCACAACTGACCCGCCTGCCATTACCACCACAGGGCTGGTGTCTGCAGAGCCCTCCTGTCCTCACCACCACCGCAGTCCTCACCAAGCAAGCGTGCCCTCCGAACTCGGGAACATAGAGCCTTGCTGCGCAACACTGGAGGATGCGGGAAGGACATGCGCAGCCGCGGATCCCCGCGGATCTTCGCCCCAACGAAGGTCTGGGAAGGACATAAGGCCAACGGGGCAACAGGTAACAAAGTCGAGAGTTCAGTCTTTATGGTCTAAAAGTTGAGAGACAAAGCGTTTCCAAAAAACGGAACACCACAGGGTGATCCAGTAGCCGATAGATAACATGGCCAGCTCGGTGACTTGCTCCTTCACCAGAAACGAGTGGCGACATCCCGAAAGAGAAACATCCGATCGGACTTGTCCGCGTGGTCGGACATGTGTTCTACGGACACATGATGTATTTATCCCCCAAGTTGGCCCCAAATAGATATTATTTAACCCGGATGATTCCAAATCCGCCATAGAACTACGACCAGTCCATGCCCTCGACCAGGGGCCCAAGTTGGGCAGGTTGTGCACCCACTGTGTCACCGCTAGTGTATCAGAAAAAGGGGAGCCCACTTATGTCAATCTTCATTTGGTATACCAGGTCTTTGCGGTGATCTCTCCCCTCATCCCTCTCTCCATACCTCATCTCTATGCACACACCCCACATCATCCATGTCTGAAAAAGAATCGTGAGAGTGCAGTGCATAGAGCGGTCCCGGTAGCTTCTTGTTACTAGTAGTAACAAGTGCCACGCTAGTAGTAACAGGTGCCTTACTAGTAGTAACTAGAAAGCTATTAGAATTAAATTTAAATTAATAGCTTTCTTGTTACTACTAGTAAGGCACTTGTTACTACTAGGGTGGCACTTGTTACTTAGTAGCTTCTTGTAATTACTAGCAATGGAATCGTGAGAGTGCAGTGCATAGAGCGGTCCCGGTCACATGGAGCTTTGTAGATTGGAGCGGATCATCTCTGAGCCCACTAGGGGTGTGAGCTGGTCGTCCTCGGCCGCGCCGGCGGAGCTGACTAGATTAGACGGCCCGGAGCTGCCTGGATGGCGCATCTGGGGGCACAAGTCCCTTTTGGGGAAAAATGCATGCAACATAGACCAAATGATTCAATTTATTAATTGATTTTAGAAAACAATATAATGCATATAACATAATTATGACTGTAAATTACTCTGATCATCAGATCTCATCTGATCTCCAGATCCTGGACTTCCAAATTCACCTTGCTTCCAAGGGATGGGCGAAGCAGCCACTCACCCAGCCACTCACCCAGCCATCGTTTCAACACTTGGGTGAACAAAACGCTATTTTGCACCGTTACCCTGCTGTACTTTCAAAACTGGGGTGGAAAACACTGTTGCATCTTTACCTGGCGTTAGTTCCAGCACGCCTTTCGCACCACCCACCTTCTTCCGCACCAAAGCAGGCGGTTCAGGACAGCGACAAAGCTGTCATCCGGGGAAATCCATCCGTGTCTCCCAGTCAGGTCACATGCTGTCAGTCCGTGACTTACACTCTCCGTGACTGTCACGTACATGAATCATGGGGGTGGTTTTCACCACCTGCCAGGACCTTCGTGACCTCTTAAGTGACCTCTTTCATTAGGGCATTAGGGATGATTCGTGATGAGCTGGGATCTTAAGTTATAGGTCACTAACTGAAGCTCCTGGTGTTTGCTCTTCAGACTTCATGGTCATCCGAACGAACTCGGGGCCATTGCCCCATTTCCCACACACTCCATGTATGTGCCGATCAGTTGGGGTGTTTTGGGGGATCAATGTAGGCATATATGGCAGTCCCATGAAGTGTATGGGTTTTAGATCGATTCCAGAGCAACACATGCCATGCCCGATCTCGTGATCGACGCCTTGGCGTTGATGAGCAGGGTCGGTGCCGGCAGTTGACGGATGAGATCATCAGAGATGTTGACCACCTGACGAGCCACCCGGATCAAACGAGCCCCACGTCCCAGTGTCCGATCGGATCCTGCCATCGGCATGCCCAAGAGTCCCCACTTGGTGGGTCCCTTTGAGTCTACCTGAGTCCCAGTAGTTAGCGTCCCTTAGCTACGTTCGGTTCGCGTCCTTGAGCTCCGTTCGAGTCGCGATGCCGGTTCTGAGTCGTAGCTCAAAAAGGGCTCCCAAAACCCGGGTTTCTTTTGGGTTCGCCTGGAAAGGTCTGTGGCGGCTTCAGGGGGGCTCACTGCTTGGGAACGAGCAAGCTGAACAATGGAGCCTGAGTTCGATTGAGGAGTCCTACTGAACTTACTGCTGGGCAGTCCCACAATGGTCAGTGAGAGAAAACAATACCATTGAGATAAGAGTTCAACGAGCAATATACAATCATGTACAATACAAGTCTGCCACATCTTCGCGGTGCTTTCTGCACATGGAAAAACACTTAAAAGTCTTGGCCAAACACAAAAAGTAAACACATATGATCATATGATTCAGGCCACTTTAAGTCATTTGACACCTGCAAAATCCCTTGAAAACCCTGGGATTTCCCTTTCATCCGCCATCCAACTCCACATGCCCCAGGCGCTGCCACGGTGTTCCGGATCACCTGCTGGTCCCAGGAGCGGCCATCGCCCGCCATCCTGACGGTCCACTCGTCGTACGACGAGTGGATTGTCCCTAGGACTCCAGTCGTACCCTCCTCAGGTACGACTGGACCCTCCGGGCACCCACACCCGGGCCCCCGTCGTCCCGCCGAACGGTTTCACGAAGGTACGACTGGAGCCCGAAACGGGTGTAGATTGTAGCATCCTGATCTATTTCCAACTAGTTAGTTGTTGTGTATGTTGACTTTCTGCATCGACAGGTGTCAACAGTTCAACATGTACGTCACTAGGTGTGCCCACCATAGCCACTGGATTGCTCTCGCACACGACGCGTGGCACGTGAGGCGTCAAGCTCCTCATCCAATTCTCAAAGGCGGCTTGGCCAACTTTAGGCGCTGCCGCACACAAGCACAGCCGCTCGACACGCTCCGGGTACTTCACTGCATACCTGAGCCAACGACCAAGAACCGGCCAAAGGTAGGAGACTTAGGACCCAGGTCAATGACCTCTCTCAGGCTCTCATACCTGGGTCCTAAGTCTCCTACCGGTTTATGACCTCTCTCAGTCTCTCAAGTCTCTCCAAAACCAAAAACACGACCTCCGTCACCGGATGTGGAAACGAGCTCGACTCGTCGACTGGAACGTCGGAACGTACGGTGCGTACCCACCGTCTCCACTCCTTCGGTGCGGAGCCAACTGCGGAAGTCGTGGGGTGATTCCGCTGACAACGCGAACTCGGCGTGAAGACAACACGACTCAGCTGCATGAATACTCCGTGCTCAAGGAAAACGGAGTATTAGACTGATACAATGTGGATATACAAATGAATACCCGTGATCCACATGCTCATTGAGCCACCCACTTCGAGTTATCGGGATGTATCGGGTGAGTTCAAGCTGGGGTCGCGTCCGAACGTCACCGGTCAGAAGGTCCATCTCATCGGTCGACCATGGCGACCATTAAGAGACCTAGTGAGGCAAACCCCCCGGCCAATCGTGCCCGATGCAGGACTATAGCCAAACTTGGGTATAGATTCCTTGGTCTTCCTCGGCTCCAGAATCGGCAGCCCCGGTCCTACTTTCCCAAAACAGCATATCAAAGGCCTCCCAGGTACCGCTGATATAACTATTCAAAACTGAGTGCTTAGGAGACCATCCAAATTCTTCTTCTCCATAATTCTTCTCCATAACAATTGAGGTGAGAACCCGGGACCGTGAAGTGAGCGTGATGTACCAGTGAACACGCACCTCAAAAACCACATAAGCCCCCCAAATACCAGTAAAGGCCGTGAGGTAACCGTGATGTAACCGTGAAATCCCTCAACCATGAAAGCTGTGTGGGTCACGCAAAAACTGTGATGGGAATGCGTTCTTTCCATCTTCATTGTGAGGCAGTGACTAGTATATGTTATGAATATACCCCTCATAAGTGGTATTTGGTGGCCTAGGGCTGCACAAGACCGGCCGCTGAAGAAAGGCCGTGGTTTCCACAGCCCTTTGGACGATAAAGGATTATATATGCTCCATCACATTCGTCGTGGATGATGTCAAAAGCTGTCAAAGGGACCTGCCAAAAGAAACATGTTGTGGGTGACCTCAGCTGACTCCAGAAGTTGTGCAGCTCCAACTCTGGTGGAGTTGGAAGAGGCGGAGCCAGCGGCAGCCAGCTCCGACCTTGAACAAGCTTTTGGGATGGTTGTTCCTGCTGGGGCGGCACCAACCTTCTCACAGTACCAGCACGGTGCTACTGGTGCCATGGTGCTGCAGTGCAATGGCGGAGCCCATGGAATGGCCGACGATCATGGCCTGGTATAGTTCTGCTGGACTGGGCGGGGCAGAGCTCAAAGAAACTGGAAAAGAGGGCAACAAAGGAGAATTGATGTGTTCCACAAGTTTCCAGTTCCACCTTGTCACAAAAGGATGGAAAAGACGAATCCCAAGGAAGTCAAGGTGGAACAAGCAGATTTGAGTATGCATCATACATCCATTGGCAGCTTGCTTAGATCGGAGTTCAGTGCAGGGCCTTGGACCAATGTGCACAATTGAACGCTGGCGGTTGATTTATAACACTCCGCTTTAGAACACCACCCAACACCTGGATGGCCTTTCAATGTCTTTCACATGGTTAACCGGTTAACCAGTCAAAAACCAGAATACAAATTCCAATTCGTGGAGTTCACGTAGACATCATGTTTTGGTAGGCTCCATAGGCTTTGCCCAAGTGCGAGACACAAGTGCATACGTTCAAGTGTTTGTCATGACATCATCCATGCCCACCCGCCACAGAGTTGCACCCAATAACGCCCAAAGCATCCATTGTTCACGGTATGTGTTTCGAACCGTTGCAGACATATTAAATGGCATGCAAGCCTTCCACTCCCTGGTGCTGCTCGGATCGCATGACGACACCAGAAGACTCGATGTCCGAGTGCGTGTCGTCGCCTGCTCCACGCGGCAGTATTTGCGAATCTCCTCCACATCAGCCACAAAGTCTTCCATGGTGCCCTTCCTGGCATCCAGCGCTCGGCCAGCTAGCGGATGTCATATCCCAAACACGCCTATAATGGGACTGCCATATAATATGCCGATCAGGCCGGGGGTGGTGCCAGGGGGGTCAATGGGGCGGCAGTCCTATGGCAGTCCCAGACAGGTCGTGTCATCGGCATCGGGTCGAGAAAAGTCCACCCGCGATGGTACGTACTTCCAGAAGGTGCGAGCGACCACGGTCGTGGCGAAAAGGGGGACCCCACGACTCTGGAGTTGGGCCAGGCATGGATCGGTTGAATATGGTTGAATGCACATGCCCCGGTGTGGATACGACACCTTTGACATGTCGGCGGGTACGTTCGAACGTACCGACCCAGGTCGCTACAGGACGATCGACGAGCAAACCGTTGGCGGCCGATGGCTGGGAGGGTCGACTGCCGTTGATCCGATCCTCCCCGGTTTTTCCTGGGTTGCATCACTATGCGTCACTCCCTTCACGCCAGGTCAGAGTCTGTCCTCCCCTCATTGACCTGGTCTTTCCTCAGTTGATTTGACCCAAGCAAGCACCGACATGACACGGGCCGACACGCCCAAAAATCACCTACTTTTGAGGAACACTTGCAGATCACCCAACCGAGCCTGTCGGTGGTCTTGGAATCTTCGAAGGAGAGGGGAAAGATCTGGTAGATCTCCATCTTCGGAAGATTCGGCCCTCAGTGGAAAGGAGGATGGCCGAAAGGGAGAGCTCAATTAATGAGCACATCATGGCAGGAAGGGGGATGCATTGCATCTGCCCTCAAAGACCGCAGGCATCAGGCCAAATCTATGCTGCATAGTCAAAGGGTATGGGAGCATCCATGAAGGAGGACCACATACGACAACACTTTCAGGAGAGCAAAGTGACAAAGTGAACGCGAATCAAAATAATTCAAAATATGGTCGGCAAGAAGCAAATGGATTGTCCATGATTGCCTATTTCACCACCGGCTTTCAGTTCCAATGGTTTGAGGCTCACTTTGTGAGGAGCTTGTCGACATGATCGGCTCATGGATGTGTGGCCTGCATGATACCTTTTGAAGCCAGCTTTCATAGACACATTGACCTTCATTGGTCAGGAACTGCCATCAAAAAAAGTTCTATGCCTCCTACCCATCGTGGATGAGCCCCAATGAACTTGCCTCCTTGGCAGCACGCTCCACCGTAGTGGCTAGAGAAGCTACTACTAGTGCCCTTGTTACTAGTAGCGATGCCCTCTGTTACTAGTACGGCTTGTTCCTAGTAAAGTAATGACAGGAGCTATTAGTAGCGATGCCCTTTGCCCCGGGCAACACGCTCGCCATCTCGACGACCTCTGCCAGGCATCGGTCGACGAGTTGCTTCAGGGCGCTGCTTCGCGCATGAACTTCCTTGGAGCATCGTGCGGACCCTCCCAAAAAGAAGCTAGTAGGTTGGAGGCCGTCACTAGTAGGTTGGAGGCCATTGCTATGTGTTTCTTCACACATCTCAATGGCCTATCCTTCAACCACCGCAGGGTCGCCCGTAAGTGGACCCGGTGCCGCAGCCCAAAACAACCTGCGGGCGCCTGGGCGTCCCGTTCGCATGAACAAGTATGTTCTGCAACAGCAACTTCATTTGCCGGGCTTCCAGTATCACAGCACATTCCATTATAACATGTATAACTACATTCAATTCTCCCCAAGCTTTAAAAAACACGTTCACCAGAAAATCAAAAGAAAACCAAAAAACATCAGGGAAGGCCGTATCTTCTCCCAGCTTCCACGCTCTGGACTTCAAGCCCCTGGAAGGATGCATCCTCGTCTTTCGCTCAGGGACGGCGCGACATCGACACGAAAGACACGAAGAAAGGAACGAGCATGGAACCGCAGACGTTTTCACGGAAACGAACTAAGGGGAGTGGTTCAAAACATCATCAACTGCATACAATTGCATAACTAACCTAAAGTATATAATCAAATAACATCTTACACCCTTTAATATATATATACATGTATGTGTTGGTCCTCCCATATTGAACACACTCTGCATGAGGAACCTCATGGAACCTCTGAAGTGAAAGTAATGACATGCGGTGGTTCCAACGTTCGATCCGTCAAAGGTGCCAAACATGTCCGGTCCTGTCAGTTTTATTATGATTTATGGTTTAGTTTTGGTTGTTTTTTTGCATTGCATTCTTTTGCCAAAACTGCAAGATTTCTTTAGCCCTTGAACAGCTATTATAGATGATGTAAAATCTAGATGACTTGGGCTAATTGGATCATGAATGATCATGATATTTTAGGATAGGCCAATCTATGGATGCCACTCCTTTATATCGCTGGATGTCTTCCGCGTCCTTGCCATCGACCCACATCTGAAAGGATTGAAGGTATGCGATCGCCGCCTCCATGTGTTGGAAAATGCCTGCGGCGGGTGGTCTCACGTAGCAGTGCTGGTGAAGACCAGCGCACCGCCCACGCGGCCCCTTCACGCGCCGGCCTAGAAGCATGCCGGTCTGATCCTCCGCGAAGGACAAGCTGAGGGAAATGCAAAAGCTGTCATTGTCTTTCACATCCTCCACGAACCTGACCCCAAAGTCAGCGAGTCGGCTGCACTGCAAGCGATGTCTGGAGTTCACTACTCGCTCCAAATCTCGCCCCATGTCATCCGATGCATCTGATCCACTCCGACCAGACATGGAAGTTGGAAGTTGATTTGGAAAGGAAAGTAGTCTTCCAAAGGACCAGTTTCCACTTCCATGTTTGTGAGTCAGAGTGTCTAAAGCCATAGACATGTAGGTCATGCGTGCTTCCGTGAGTTTTGGGGGAAATGGACTTGGTTTCTCAACTTAAGTGAAGGTGTCTACAACGTCCATGTCGGAGATGGACTTGATGGAGACATGCTGAACACTGGATGACTTGATCCTCAAAACCATCCAAATCGGAGGTCGAACTCCCCCAAATTGATCAAGGATACTGGTCTTCATGATGTTCGATTTTGCCTTAAAGTGATCAGGTAGCTTCATGTTTGTAGCACGATTTTCCAACAACTATTGCACATTCCGCATATTGTGGGAGGGCTATCGTTACCTGAACCTCAGCATTTTTCAAGACATCCTGTTTAGCTTTTGGTGACTCTCTCTCCCTCTCTGGTAGGCTCTGGCCATGTCTTAGGAGGCTCCTAGGTCTTCTACAGCAAGCAATCCGATTCAAAGTCCTTCCTTGAGAACTTGCGCCTTCTCCGGTCGCACCAGGTCCTTCGCCGCTTTCCCCTCTACCTTCCCCCATCGGAACCTCGCTGCTGTGGCCGTTACATGGCTCACGCGGTGCAGCACCAAAACCCGGTGGCCGCCTTCGACGTCCTCGGCGGTACAAGTGGGTACATGCACGAAGAACTGTAGAACCAGCAGAACCATCAACACACATAGATGGTATCTTTACGTATGCATTGGGGTGGTTTTAGGGGGCATTGTTGGCACATATTCCATACATGGAGTACCTGGCTAATGACCAGGAGTTGATTCTTCTTATTTTTGCGGCGACGTTACGTTCACCACATAGGGTCCATCTCCGACGAACATGGTGAATTTCCCTTCCCGCAGCAAAAGTCCCAAGTCCAGTGAAAATTCCTCATCAAATCTCACGACTTTCGCTGGAATGGACGCTCTTCATCCACTTAATGAGGTATGCTGCGCTGCTCGTGCTTCGCCAATCCCTTTCGACTCCCTGCAGCTCCAAACTCCAAACCACACCCAAACGCTCCATGGGACTGCCAGTCCGGACTGCCGCCCCAGACAGACCCCCCTGGCACCACCCCATGAAGCGGAACTTGAAGGCAGTCCGTCATGGCAGTCCCATGGAGCAGCGGGAACCGTTCGACTCCCCGCCTTCAACTCCCCGATCCCCATCCGATCCGATCCGATCCGAACCGATGACGACTGGCGTCGTTGTGAAAGGACACCGTCGACTTGCGGAGCTGCGCTGCCTGCGCTGCGGGACGCAAGAAGAGTGCAAGGTGTTGGCAGTTGGGTGACCCATTGTGGGAGTGTCTAGCGGAAGAACAAAAATCACTGAAGCACGAACAAAAAAGGAAGTGACACATATTAAAAGGGCATGATTTGCAGCAATTGTAAAGTGTTCCAAAGAATTGTTTCATCTGCGTGTAGGTAGGAAGGGGTATACCCTCCCGGCACCCAAATGAATTTTCAAGACACATAATCATCATCGTCATCGTCGTCGTCCTCCTCCTCCTCCTCATCATCATCATCATCATCGCGTGAAAATCATTAGAGGTCTAGGCACCCAAAAAAAGTGCCTGCCATGTGCATGAGCTGATCATCCCCTCAAATGACCGAACTCCCTGGATCTCGTCGTGACGACTTCGCGACCGCAGAGCTCCCGCGCGTTCGGCGGCACGGCCTGGTCCAAGAAGGAATTCTGTAAGTAGCCAAGCTCCTCATGCTCTCCGTGCAGGAATCAGTGTTCGGTGGGTCCGGGTGGGTGGAAACGACGTATGACGACGTGAGCCGGTGGAGGGGTTGGTCAGTCCGAACATCAGGGGCTGGTGCATCTGCCAGTCGCCGCCAAGCAATGACCTCTTGCAATGGCGCAAGAATGGTCCGAGATCCTTTGAGATCTATCGCCGGATTTGACTGGGTTCCACGTCAAGTTGGAACGTCCTTCAGCGATGTTACTCCGCCCTAGGCCGCCTGTCCGCACCAATCATTGCCATGTCCAAATACTGGTCACGGTCGCCCAGCACGCAAACACTGATCAAACACTGAAGAAAGGCTTGATATTGAACACCGAATTAATGCATGGATTCACCTTTACCACCCTTTGCATCATTTTGATTTTGTTTCTTTCGCGCGCGCATTCGACTCTTTGCAAAACGGAAAGAAGTCGGTCGACCCGGGTGTCTTCATTCCGAATGGTGCCATAACGAGTCAAAACGAAACGATCGTCGAATTGATGAGCTGAAACGAGTCAGCCGACGCTGGTTGGCCATGTGTCACAGCTGTCACAGCTGTTCAAGAGGTTCCCCCGTCAGCACCAACATCATTGCTTTGAAGTGGATCTTCATCGCCTTTCATCCATTATTCACTCAAAAATGCTATAAACATGCTAGATATTGTATAAATTATAGACAAACTATTGTAGTCTATTCTAGATCCTCCATGTGTGTGTGCCCCAACAACTTGCGACTCGACCCAACAAAAACAGCTCGTCCTTCAAGCGTTCCTGCGGCGCCAAAACGTCCACCCTCTGCAGCTCTGCCCCAGCCAGTGCGAAGGCGTTGGAGTCGCGGGCGGCGAAGAAGCGGAGGCTCCAGTAGTTGAGCCGGACCAGGGCTTGACCTGGGATCTTTGAAACGTTTTTGCGGGTTTTTTCCACCTAAGGAGCTGTCCAAAGATGAGAGTTTTAAGTTGAAAGCTCGGAGTTTCTTGGATCCTTCGAAAGACTCTTTGGGGGAAGGTTTAAGTTAAAGATTCCAGGACCTGAGCCGCTCGTGACCTCTTTGGAGTCTCTATTTGTGGCCCCTTCAGGGACTAATAAGTGACCTCAAACTGGGACTTAATTCACATCCTTCATATTCTGGCGGATGCCCCTGTTTCTTCGTGCCTGGCATGGCGCGAGGCGCCGCGAGTGAAAAACCAAACGCGCAGCAGGCAGCCAGTTGCATACTGGCAACTTGGGTGATGCTTATTCTACACGTCGTCTAATAACTATATATATTATATATTATATATGTGTATATTTTGTGAGTTATGAGAATCTGATTGAGAATAGGCAAGTCCGGGGGCAGGTGGCATCTCTCCTACGTTCAACTCCTGATGCGTTTGACCAGGCCCCTCAAGAGTCAAATCAGCCTGCAAAACGAAAAAGTTCCCAAACAAATAGATAGCACTGTGACCCCTGCGCGTCCCCCCGTTTTGGCACAAACCCACCACCACCCCATCTCCACTTTGAGCTCTTCTCCCCAGTGGCCATTGCACAGGGAGACACAGTGCGTGGCCGCACCGGAGGCGCGCGAGATCCGTAGCTCCTCCTTGACCTTGGGAGCTGCGTGGAAGCCACTTTCACGTTGGGGTCGGTGGGTGTCACAACGGGATGCTTCCAAGAACACCTCTTTGTGGGTGAAAGAAACCATCTGAACAACATGTTAACTTATGTTCTTCAACCACTTCGTTGTATAAACCAATCGGAGAGCTCTATCCCAGGTCTGTAGCGGAAACATGGTGTTCCATAAATATCCTTCCTTCAGGTCACTTCTGGGTCACCTGCCATTGCATGAACATGCTTGTGTAGTAAAATAAAGGCTGCCGGGTTACAAAGACTGCAGCAGCCACGGGCACATCATGCCGAACCAAACCCTTGTGGATTGCTACATCCCTCACAAAAAGTGGGAGGGACCTTAAACTGCCACATGGTTGGTTTCCAAAATGTTTTTCCCAAAATGGTGCACTCGTCGCAATTCCATGGGGGCCCGCTTCTAAATCTCCTTTAAACTTCAACCACACTCAAACCACAGGGATGTTAAACATGAAGGCGTGTGAACTGCAAAAACTGTGAGAGGTGTCTAGCGCGGACTGCTGAGATGCTGGAGCTGTTGCTGCTGCTGCTGGCCTCCTGCAGTTGTTTCCACGGTTTGTTCTCAGAAATCTTCAGAACGACATAATTAGGAAGGACGTAAGAGCTGACTCAAAAGATTTGGATGTTGGATGGGCAAATCAAATGGTCAAGAAATGGACCGTCGTCTAGCGCGGTGCTAGCGCGGATCTAGCGCCAGCCTAGCGCAAAAATCTCCGTCGATGTCTTTATCCTGTCAGATTCTTATTTTTCCTGCTTGCTTGTCTTCTTCTTGTTGTGCATTCTTCTTCTTCTTCTTCTTCTTCTTCTTGGCTTTTCTTTTTTCTTGTCTTGCTTCTTCTGTTTCCTGCTCTCTGCTTGTTTCTTCTTTTTCCTGCTTGCTATCCTGTTATGAAGAAACCTAGCGCCAACCTAGCGCCAATCTAGCGCTGCCTTGCTGTATCACCATATTCTGCTCAGGGCCCGCTTCTAAACGAAAACTTAAGAAACACATCTACAGCCTTAAAAGTTTTCGTTTATCTATTTTTTGAGTAGGGCTTTTTGAGCGCAGTCCACATGCATTGTATATTTTAGTTTATCAACACCCCCCCTCATCCAATATTGAAGACATGCACAGCACGGATCATTGATTGTTGCTGCGGCATGACGCACACACACACACACACTTTCGCAGCACTTGAGAGTTGTGTGTTGAATTTCAACCATCTACATGGGTGGCCCGTGACAGGTCTACCCAAACAACGTGCTGAATCTCTTGTCCATCGACATTTCAGGCACCTCACGTGAAACGTTGGTGAGTTAGGACAAAAAAAACGTTCGGCAGCATAGTAGATATATAGTAGGGATTAGTCGGGTGATATATTGCAACTATAGCTTTTTGGAGAGCCCAACCCTTGATGCAGTATGATGCAATTCACTGCTAACACAAGAACAATGAACCCCAATCAAACCGATCCATCATGATCCATCAACCAACCTTGTAACTCGTGACCCTTTAGTTGGGCGTGTGTCCGTTGTTTTCTTTTCTGGTGCCACGAGGGGCCGACGCTCCGGGTAGGCGGCTGATGAAAGGGACCGACGCCCGCTTTCACTGTTCAACATGTTGGCTTCGTCTCTGGGTAAGACGCTACGGTTGACCTTCATTGTGGTGTTCCATCTTTTTCCAGTTCCCAAACACTCCATGGGACTGGTATATTGCATTGGGGTGGTTTGGGGGGTCTGTCTGGGGCGGCAGTCCTATGGCATACAAGTGTCTAACAGTCTGGGCTTTGTCACGCTGGCGCGACGCTGTCCTCGCCTCGCCTCGCCCCCACCGGGGCGATCGAGGGCGGCACCGCTCGGCTGCGGCACAGCGATTCTCCGAGGGGCGGCGTCCGTGAAGGTTCTGAGGTTCGTGAGCTTCCAGGTGCCTCGGGCGACGGCTTCGCACGGCGGCACCGCTCCGCGCCGGTTCAACGGACCCCCGGGGCTTCAGAAGCACGAGACGCAGCGCTTCGGCGAGGCGAGGCGAGGTGCGGCCAGATCCGGTGAGGTTTCCACTTCAACCGCGGTGGTTCACCGGAACCTGCCCGTTTGTGCGGGGGCCCGGAAGGGTTTCGGACGTCTAGATTTGAGCGGGGCGGCTGAGGAACCTGAGGAAACCCGGGGGGAACTGAGTTCAGAGGCGAACTGAGGGGAACAGCCAGAAACCGACTGAGGACGCACAAGACGAACTGGGCAGAACTGGAGATTCTAGGAAGCCGCCATGAGGTACATGTTCAGGTTGACAGAATGAAGTACGTAGTGACTCACTGACAAATTGGTGTCCAATTGGTCGGGAAAAGCTCCAACTTCTAAATACCAGGAAATGACAGCGACAAGAATGTTGATGAGTTGATGAGCTGATGAATGATCAGCTCCACTGGGTTTCGGAGCTGTGCAAGGATGAAGTTGCGCAATGATCAATTGATATCCAACTGTATGATGACGCGATCCAAGGGTCTACTGATCCATGTCATGCCAAATGGAATTGAGTCGACTCGACTTATTTTGTCTTGAGTTGACCAAAAGCACCTGAGAAGCTGGACTTGACCCCACTGGCACCTGGGCAATCCCTTCCAAAACAAGGAACCTTCGTCAAGTTCACATGCATCGCACCAGTGGCTTCACCCAACCCTCTCGCTTAACCGTCGACTTCCGCACCGGGCCGCTCAAGATCGTCAAGCTCTCGTCCACCATCGGCGCCAAGGTCCTGCGGCTTTGGGTTCGCAGAAGGCTCAGGAACAAATTGTTTGAACGAATTTGCTTCAGGAACCGGAAAATCTAAACATATGAAGGGGATTTACCCATAAGTACCCATTGAAATCCATAAAAAAAAATCACCGGAACCGCAAAACCGCGACATGTTGTTTTTCTTTTGTGGTGCTGGGAGCGGAACAAATGCAACAAAGGCCATCTGTATAACGACGATCAGTTTACCTTCTAGCACAATACACTGCGGTATTGAATCCATTCACCCTACGTTCGTCCAGTCTGACCCCAGATTCAACCTGGCTAGAATACCTCCAAACGAGAGGACCGTGTGAGTAGTCATGACCATCTCCACTAAACCCTAGAAGTCGAACCACCATTGTTTTAATAGCCTTTGCCGAACAACCATTGTTTCACTAAGGGATTTACACTACAAAACCAGACCAACCATTTTTAAAATGGTCTTTGACTTCTAGGGTAAAGTGAGGTCATTGAGTCAAACAGACCGCTCCCATCCGTGCTTCGGCTCCTGAAACGATCCGAGCCGCCGAAACCACGCTGGTCCACGAGAAGGACCTCAGCGGCTGAGAGGTGGAAAACAACGAAACAGGACCAAGACGAAGAAGATTTGGAACACCAGGAATCCAAACACCAATGCGCTGTGGCGCAGGAAACCGTGCCATAAGAACATCTTACAAAAAGAACCAACAGGTCGGACCATGCGTCGGACCATGCGTTGAAGAGACGGATCTGTTTCTGCCTGCGGTCTGGGCCACATTCGCCCGCCTCGCCAGCGCCCGGGCGAACTTGGCCCGGCGCACCTCATCGCACACCGCGCTGGGTGCATCGGAGGCATCGCCAAAGCCTCCCGGCGACGGAAATTTCCTCTCTCAGCTGACTCAGCACCTCTCAGCACTTTAGATTAAAACGCTCATCTTAACAGGTAAAATAGCTGCGGATCAACAAACTACAATGGACTGTTTCCTCCTCCATCTATGGCCGCCATGGCCTTAAACGTTTGCTTTCTTTTCCAATCTTCATCCCACGGGCCTCCCACTGAACCCGCGCCGCGGACGCTCTCCGCGCTTCCGCGCGGTAACTCTCGCCTGCGAAGTCCGTGGTGAGAGGCTGGGTGCGGAAGACGCCGTCCTCCCAAAAGCTCAGGTCATCACCTCATGGGCACTGGCGAGGAATATTGCTCGCACACGTGGACGGACTGGAACGTATGCCCATGATCGTCATTTGGTGGATCTCGAGTGGTCATGCGAACTCAGCAAGTGCACCTCAGTGGTCTAAAGCCAAGAAAAAACAAAAACGAGAGAGGAACAAGAAGCTACTAGTATCAAAGGGCATCGCTACCAACGGAGCAAGGACGCTAGGGGCGCTCCTGGCCTTACTACTAGGAACAAGGTTCGCTACGAACGATGCCATGTCAATCATGTCTTTCGTTGCACCGCTCGAGCGAGCCCCTTTCCACTGGTCGGACACCCTCTTTTTGGCCCAGGCAGCCGATACCGTGGAGACAAATGGCCGTGCGTGCTTTGGGCTCCTCGGAGAACGGGGGCTGCTCGTTCCAGGTATGATCAACAAAGGGAAAGTAGGCTGTATATCACCAGGACCTGCAGTTCGTGACCTTTTTGGAGCCTGTAAGTGGCCTCCTTATGGACTAAGTGACCTCGAACTGGGATCTCAAGTTAGGTCACTTTGAAGGTCCTGGCAGATCTACATTGAATGTGACTGCAACTATCTGCGTGTGGAACAAAAAGAACAGAATGCATGCAAGTGTATGCTGTCAGTACTGCACGCATGTGCACATGCAACATGTGTGATGGTTTGTCAAGCAACTATGAAACACCCCGCAAACACCTGGAGAATGACAAGAATGGAAAGGACATGGCAATCCAAATAAAGGTTCACCACGTGAGACAGACCCTAGCTACGACGCATCTCTGCAGTTTGCACAAGTCGCCACACCATCATGCTCTCTCAACGATGTCTTTCTTGAAAGATCTTGAATGTCACTTCTGCAGCGGATGCCCATGGCCAACAGAACCATGAATCCCCGTATCCACATGACTGACATGAACCCTGAACACCACCTCATGACTCATGGTTTTCGACCATGTTCCCAATACCAACCCTGTGGATCCCAGTGGTCTTTTTTCGTGGTTCCAACGGGCGAGTGGCCACGAGCCCGGCAACGAGCAACTGAAACAACGATGGGCGACCTATTGGGATTACAGCCAAGCAATGCTTGAAACTTGAAAGCGCCAAGTGGAGCAGGTGTCTTGGAAGCTGGCATGGAGCTTTTTTTGTTCTCACCAATAGCACTGGCACGTAAAAACACCAGTCTCCTCCGCCCGCCCTGCCAGGTGACCAACCATACTATGAAACAATGCCACTGCTCAAAACATCATGAATGACACATACTAAAGCATGGATAGGCGGGTCTACCGTTGACCCCGGCCCGGACTATCCATGTAAAGCCACGCGAGTCTTTTCCGCCATTCTGCTCCCAAGGCTCTAAGCTGTTGTCCCCTCTCGGACCGCCCAGGAGCAAACGACAGCGGATCCTGGCGAGCACGTTCCTGAAAACAGCTAGACCCCTTTATGGTAAGAAGCCCCACGAGGAGACCCCAGAACTTCTGGGGTGTTGTGTAAGGAGCCCTGACACCGGGGTGCTTCATAGACACCCCTTTCTAGAAAACACTTCACTGGTGAAAGGCACGGCCGGACACCGCCGGTTAAGGCGAAGTAGCGAAGAGCACCGGACGAGAGTGAAAGTGACGTCATCTACTTCGGAAGGTTCAAATGGTGTCTGGTTGACTTGATGGAGAGGAACAAAACTATCTCGAGGATTCTCGAGGGTCCAAATCTGTCACGATCACATCTCCAAATAATTGTTGAATGACCTATAAAATCACACTCACTCAGCAAGGGCTGAGACGGCTTCGTGTCGATCTGATCCAAAAAACAACGCACCATCTCTCCGCTTTTCGTGAGGACGAAAGCTAACCCACACGCTCCATGGGACTGCCATATATGCCGATCAATTGACCCCCCTGGCACCACCCCTGGCCGTTTCTCGGCAGTCCTATGCCAGTCCCATTAGGCGTGTTTGGGTCATGCTCCAGGTCTTATTAACGTGGTCGGTTGTAAGACCTGAAGAGCTCCGACACCCGTGCGTCCACGACCAAAGAACCGCAGCACGGACCCCGGTCTCGGTGGAGCGCCTGGCGTGCGGTGTGCCACCCGGTAAGACGCCCAGCAGTTCCAAAGAGGGTAGGGGAATTGGTAGGGGTTTAAGGGTCTTGTTGAAGGGTCTAAATGACCTCCGAACCGCATCCCTTTTTGGAACTGGCAGCCCAAGGAGGTGTTCTGTCGACCTGGCATTGCCGCGTTTGGCCGCAGGAAACGGCCCACACACCTCGACGACCAGGTGCCACGGGCAAGGGTCCTTGTGCCGTCAGCGCATGCAACATAGTGGAAGCCATCCGCAGCAGCAGTCACCATTGGAAGATGAAGGGAATTCCAGCGCTCTTTGGAATAACACATATTCTAGGAACATTCTACACCTAGTCAGTGGAAGTGAAGGAAAGGGTTCAAATATCGTAGCGGCGTGGTGCGTGTGTGTGTGTGTGTGTGTGTACATGTGCGGACCATGCAGTTGCGGATCTCAATGTATACGTCGATGTAAGTAGGCCACACGATCCTGCAATGTCCGTCTACAGTTCTTCATTGCATCTATCGGGGTCTGGTCTGGTAGTGGGTCAGTATCTAGAGTGTGGCATGGGTGACATTAGACTGGCTAAGGGTTGTGGCGCTGTTACTTGGTTGTTATAGCCAGTTATAGCCTATTATAGCTGACCAGAACTAGTGGATGCCATGACCAGAAATAGCTGCGTCAAAGAGCACAATTCATTTTGAGTCACGAGGTCCAGTGATAGATCCATGGATGACCATCAAGCCTTTGCGGGAACGCGGCTTGAATGGTGCCTCGGAGGCAACTGAATTGAGGGAGTGGTTCCTTCTGGAGTGAAATGGAAGGACAGCGGATGTACACAATCATGCCATCATTTCCGGGACGGTCTCTGCATCTTGATGTGTCTGACACAGTAAGTGAGTGCACATGACCACTTTGAGGGTCCAACCTCCAAAACACGACAACTGATCTGGCACATCAGTTTATAAGGTCCTAGCAAGGCCTCGGGGTTGGTGGGATGGAAAAAGAACGTGTTGGCTCTCACGATCATGTTTCGAGACAATTCCTCGTCCCTCATCATCCCCCATGAATTGCCTCATCATCATCCCTCATCCCTCATAATCCTCCAGCTTCTATGGCGGAGGTGCTGGGTCTGGAAGCAGCCCTTATGTCCTCCTCCTCATCCCTCCCCCAAACCACCGACCTGTCTGCGCCTGCCGATGCTGATTCCAGCAGCCCAGGCGCAGTAGCGCACGGCGGGCGGTGCTCGTCATGGAGCGATGGCACACGTGCGGTGTGAAGGAGGGCCGATGTAGTGATGGATCATCCGCTACATGTTGATGGTAGCAGGTCTACTGTGTGACCACATGCATGAACCTCATTGTGCATCTTCTGGATGATGGCCTACGGAGGCTACTATGGACACTGCACACGTGAATAGCAACCCCCTGCAGGTTCCTTCTGAACCGGTGAACCATGGTGAACCGGTGAATCAGAACTTTCCACCGATCTCGGATTTTGAGTGAGATGTCACCAATCCCAAACAGCAGACATGAGCCTCCAATACCGGTTCAAAGGAGGTTTGTTCAAGTATACTGGTGATGCTGTTGCCAGGTGATGCTTTTGTTCCACCTACCTTTTCCTCGTTGCAAACAACAGGACATCTTTGGCCCCTGAACCGCAGGTCGAAAGCACAGCACACCGGGGAAGATTCACATGGCAACCTGAAAATCAACCTTTGGAAGGCCGTTGTCCTCGGTCAAACCCGACGTGGTTTTCCGGTTCGGTCTCTTTCAGGGCCTCAATCAGTCGCTTGCAGTTGGCGCTTGCAGCACCGAACTCGTTCGAGTTCGGAGAAAAATCTTTACATGGCCTGACGAGTCAGGCCCATCGATTGATGAAATGCCGGGTGAAAACCCTGGTGACCACGAAGGTATTCCGACCATCTGGGTGTCCTGGCTGGACTACCCAGCCCACTACTTTGAGATGTCCAATCAGGACACCCAAACAGGATGACCCTGGTTGGAAGACACGACTGGCCGTTGGCCATGCCGTTGGCCTACTTCCTGGCCCAATAGATAGCGCCCTTGGCACCTCCCCCGAATTTTGAGACTTCCTGTCCACCAAGTCGTAGCAAAAAAAACAAAAAACATCGCGAACGGTTGGACTTCCACATGCCTTCGAACGGCCCCATTTCAACCTTTGGGTGGCTGAAGTGTAACGCATATTGCCAAAAACATGTGGGGTTTTCCTCACGCCGGTCTGGGCAAAAAGACATCAGCGCCATCCATGTGAACTTCCCATCAACTCTTCAACGCAGTTTCCTGTGATCCTTGACCTTGGTTGGCTCATCCGCTCGTTCATCTCCTTGTTCAGCAAAGCGACAAATTGCTTCCGCAAGCTGGTGAACCCCCCAAGTGATGTGCAAAAGAAAGGGCATTGCACTTCAGCACCTAAGGATGAACTCAGTGTTTTGGACACCCGACCACGTCCGAACGACTCGACCACGTCCGAACGAGTTTCACCGTTCCATCATGTTCCACCGCGGCACTTCTCCGGTGAGTTGGGGAATCGGTCGTCAAACGAACTTCACCAAGTAGTCGATCGGACAAGTAGTCACATCGACTGCTCCTGCGTCTAGCTGTTTGGGGCTACTCTCCTGCAGAACTGGCACCCCGATCCGCCTTGCTCACCTCTGCGGTGACCTGGTGGAGCGTAGGCTTCGTCCTCTGAATAAGGACGGACATTGTGGCTTGGGGAACTGGAAAAGTGCCACAAAAAGCACCAGGAGCTACTAGTAGCGTCCTTGCTCCTAGTAGCGATGCCAGGAGCCCCTAGTAGCTTCTTGTTCCTAGCAGTAAGGCCAGGAGCTACTAGTAGCGCCCTTGCTCCCCTGAACTCATCCTTTTGTTAAAACATATAGGAATCTTCGGGATCTTCCAGCATTTGGATGTGCATGTTTTGTGATGGTCTTCCCTGCAATTTGGTCGGGAGTCTGCAGGATGTGCATGTGTTTGTTATAAAGTTGAATCAGTGAGGAGGAACAAAAAATATCATCCAGATTGCCTTGCAACATGGGAAACTATGACCTGTGGCTCCTTATATAGATGGTCACATTGGAACTGTCCATCCAAACCATTGTCAAGACATGTTTAGACCAATGGCCGAGAAACTCACATGCTCTCACCCAATGAAGGTCCTGCCGCCCCCCCCCGCTTCTACGAGGTTGTGTTAAGTTAAGAAGGATGCTATCGGTCAACTCGGTCAACTCTCTATTCAGTAGGGACCTTGAAAGAGAGAGTCTTGCTGAGGTCTTGCTGACGTTTCATGTTCCCAAACGCTCCATGCATGGCATACTTACCTACCTGGACCTTCAAGGGGTGTCCTGGCTGGAGGTCCCTAAGTAGAGGGCTGGGGCTTCCGTTGGTGACCCATGAAGGTGCTGGTGGTTTCAGGGGTCCATGTCGGTAGACCATTCACATGTGCTGTCTGAGTCTGAGTTGAACCATCCATTGGTCCATGCCGGCAACGAACTGCAAATACCGAACTAATGGGCCCTACATTGGGCATATCTCATTGCCAGTAACAGTGGATGATGACGGATAGGTATTAGGGACAGCAGATTCTAGGTATTAGGGACAGCAGGAATTTGTATATAAAATAGTGTGATACTTGTCTACATGACAGTGGCTGCAGGTAGACTGCATCGCCCCAGAACAAAACAAACCTACAGATCAAACAAAAGCGACTGGTGGCCACACTTCTTCTCGGCATCCCCACCACTTCCACTTCCCCCACCCCACCACTTCCAACCGCCGTCCTTCGATCCCTCCCGCCCCACCACACGCCCCGCCAGCTGTGCATCCCGACGCCGATCAAGGGCAAGCTGGATCCGGCGAGCTCGGCATCGCACTTCCTCAGCCACACCTGGCGACTGGCCTCGCAGGCTCGGTCGAGGGGTCTCGCGTTGCCCGGGTTTCGGTGCTTCGATCGGATCAGGTCACGCCGGAAAGGGCCAGGAGCCGTTGGGAGTCCGTCCGATGACGTGTCTGTCAGGTGACGCCAGGAACTTCCAAGCTGATTGGACTTCGGCTGCAACCAGGGACGTATACTGCTACCTGGGCTGATGAACATAGAAGTGGTCTTATAGCTATAGTTGTAGTTGTGGTCCTTCTATTGCATGCAAACATGTTTTAATATTGCTTAACTATTCAAAACTAGGCGACAGAAACATTTGGGAAGAAACAGTCTCCCTACTTCATTCAGCAAACAACCTCCTTTTCACAAAAATGCATTGCCCTGATCCCTGAATTGAATCTGCAGCACCACCAACCACCCCTCTCAAACCAGCAAGTGAATTGACCAACAAGAATCTTTCATTGAGCTGAAATACACAGCCGGAAGCAACCTCGCAGTTTTCGTCTCAGGTGACCTTACTATATCACAAAAATAGTTACAGTACCATATTTTACCATCACCCAAGAGATAGTTTTTGATACTCGTGTCCCAAATCCTTCAAGCTCTGTGCTTCGTATCTGTTCATCTGGAACTTCACTCTCCCTCTCTCTCTCTCTACCATTTTTGCTTCAACAAGATCACCACCCACCATCCGCATGCGACCACCTCAGAACTGAGGCGAGGTTCCTTGCTGCCAGTGGCATAGAGCAGGGACTCTTCCAAGGCCGCCTTGGCATTGCCAAAGTCAGCCATGTAGAAAAGGGCCTGCCATCGGCCAAGGAACACCCTTGAAACAGGCGCTTTCCGTCATCAGACGGTCTTGGTTCCAAGACTGGGCGGATGTGGAAGACTGGACTTGAAAACCATTTTTTCCAAAGATGAGAAGATGGCTGTTCTTCTTCGATTGGCCGTCTCCAGATGTCGCTGACCACGCTTGGACCAGCACGAGTCGGCACGCTTGGACCAGCATGTGATGCTCTACGGGCGCCCTACGGTCTACAACTCGGATTCCCCCAAAAGAATGGAACTCGAGAGCGCCATTCCCACTCATCCATGTTTGCCAGAGACCCCAAAACCTGTTCCCATGAGAACCAACCGAAACCGCTTCACCCCTCCCCATCTCCGTGGTGACCACCGGTGTCCGTGTGGCCAAGCGGGCCGGGCACGCAATGCCCTTCCAATAGAGTGCCTAGGCTCGACGTTTTCTCTTGGGAAGGGCGCCTGGGATGGTCGGAGAGGTTCATGGCGTAGCCTGGACGCCTGGGTACCCTCCCTCCAACGATCCATGGATCCATGGCCTCCTGGAAGACCCTGAACTCCACGACCAACCGTGGGATTGTCCACGACCAACCGT